AATTTCTCTTTTTATTGCTAGGCAGTTTTTCTTAATTTTCCGTACATATTTTCCTGTGATTCTCTGCATTTTTTGAGCATTATTCTGAATTCTTTGTTAGATATGTTATATATCTTTAATTCTTCTGGCTCCATTACTGGAGCTTTGTTGATTTCTTTTGGTGAAGTCATGTTTCCCTGATTTTCCCTTGTGTCTTTATATTCATTCCTGTGCATTTGCTGAAATAGCCACCTCTTCCATCTATTGCAGTTGTTCTTTGGTGGTTTTAGACTTTCACCAATTGTTACCAGAATTTAATCATGGGACCGTTTGTTGCTTTGAATTCTGGGGAGGCCTTATAGTGAGCATCAGAACTAAAATATGGCACCAGAACTTACTCACTGCCCTTCCACTGTTTCCCATGCTGAGGATGACTTATTGCAGTCTGAAGAAAACTTAAGCACACATCAGAATTTAATTGGTAACCTCTCAGGTTTTGCAGGTTAGGGGATTGCTTGACACACTTAGGCTTTGAGAGGAACCCAGCCAGGGTTTTGGGCCTTCACATATACTAGGCTCCCTTTAGCACCAAGACACCAGGCAGCATTCTCAGTATGGCTTCCCAACTGATGGGAAAACAGAACAGATACCAAGATTTTCATGCTTGTCACTGCAATCAGTGTCCCCAGTTTTATTTCCAATTTACCCCACATCATTGAGCCCTGTTGGCCCTCCCATTGCTTCCTGTGGAATGAAATCAGTGTGGGTCCCCATGAAGATTCCCAGACTGGTGAGGAGATTAAACATCCACCTTTATTTCTTCCCAAGAAACTGTGAGTCTAAGAAAATTCTCTGAGAGTAGTGTTATGCCTGCTTGGGAGAGGTGGGTGTTTACCAGCTGTGGCTTCTGTCATTTCTGTGGCTCAGGGTATTTTTGTGCTTCTTTTCCAAGTTCTTGTGAACTCAAGGTGGCATTCTTGGCTTTGAATAGTTTCTAGTTGTACGTTTGTTAAGGGGAGTAATGCTGAGGGATCTTCTATCCTACTGTCTTCCTGACATCACTCCTCTTAATTTTCTTTTAAATTATTGTTGAATACAAAGTCTTGTTGCATACTGATGTGGTTTGTATCTGTGTCCTTACCCAAATCTCATGTTCCATTGTAATCCCCAGTGTTGGAGATTGGGCCTGGTGGGAGATGATTGGATCATAAGGGAGGTTTCTCATGAATGGTTTAGCAATATCTCTCGATGCTTTTCTCATGATAGTGAGTGGGAGAATTGTGAGATCTGGTTGTTTAAAAGAGTGTAGCACCTTCCCCCTCCTCTTCCTCGTTCTGTGGCCTTGTAAGATGTGCCTGCTTCCTCTTCATCTTCCACCATTATTGTAAGTTTCCTGAGGCTTCCCCAGAAGCAGAAGTCACTATACTTCCTGTACAACCTGTAGAACCCTGAGCCAGTTAAACTTTTCTTTATAAATTACCCACTCTCAGATAATTTTTATAGCAATGAAAAAAGAGACTAATACATACCTTTAATTTTTCTTATTAAAGGACTAATACTAATAACTTTCATTAGATCTTTAATGAATTATAGACTAATTCTAATACATTTAATTTTTCTCCATAGAATTATTACTAATTGTTATTACTTTGCTATAGAATATCCAAATAAAGTGTTTAATTCCCTTTATATATTTTTTTCTTTTTTTGAGACGGAGGCTTGCTCTGCCTTCAGGCTAGTGTAGTGGCGTGATCTCAGCTCACTGCAACTTCCACTTCCTGGGTTCAAGGGATCCTCCTGCCTCAGCCTCCCAAGTAGCTGGGCTGCAGGCACACAGTACCACGCCCAGCTAATTTTTGTATTTTTAGTAGAGACAGGGTTTCACCACGTTGGCCAGGATGGTCTCATTCTCTTGACCTCGTGATCTGCCTGCCTTGGCCTCCCAAAGTGCTGGGATTGCAGGTGTGAGTCACCGTGTCTAGCCAGTGCTAAATTTAGTACATTGAAGGAGAGGTTCACTTCTGACAGAACGTGGAACTTAAAATGAATATGAGTCAGTCTTTCTTACTACATATGGTAGATTGATCTCTCAGCATTTTGATTGACAGCTAGTATCTCAGTTGTACCATAGATCAGTACTCATCTCTTATGTCACCAGTGTCACAAAAATTGATCTGCCATTACTCTGTTACCTCCGATCTTTGAAGTGGTAGGGTAATAAACTTTTCTATTGGTGATAAACCTAATTTTAGCACAGTTATGTTTCAAATGTATGATATTGATTGCTAAGAGAATGAATCATTACACAATGCTAAGCAAACAAATACACTGTAAAGCCCACTTGATCAGGGTGGATTAGCTTTTTGATGTGCTGCTATTTGGTTTACTAGTATTTTATTGAGGACTTTTGTGTCTATGTTCATCAAGGTTATTGGCCTGAAGTCTTCTCTTTTTGTTGTGTCTCTTCCGGCATTTGGTATCAAGATGATGTTAGCCTCTTGGAATGAATTAGGTTAGAATTCCTTCTCCTCAGTTTTTTGAAACAATTTCTGTAGGAATGGTACCAGCTCTGGATCATACATCTGGTAGAATTCAGCTGTGAATCAGTCTGGTCCAGGACTTTTTCTGTTTGTTAGGCTTTATACTATTCATTTATTTTTGATATTTATTACTGATCTCTTCAGGGTTTCAATTTCTTCCTGGTTCAATCTTGAGAATATATTTTTCAATGGAATATTATGTATTTTATCTTTTTTAGTTTGCGTCTATAAAAGTATTCATAATAGTCTCTGAAGGTTTGTGTGTGTGTGTGTGTGTGTGTGTGTGTGTGTGTATTTCTGTGAGGTCAGTGATAATGTCCCCTATCTCATTTCTGATTGTGTTTATTTGGATCTTCTCTATTTTTTTCTTTATTAATATAGCTAGTAGTCTAGTAATCTTATTTATTCTGCAAAAACAAACTTTTCATTATGTGATCTTTTGTCTTTTTTTCTCAATTTCATTCAGTTCAGATCTGATTTTTTAAAATTTCTTTACTTCTGCTAGTTTTTGGGTTGGTTTGCTGTTGTTTTTCCAGTTCCTCAAGCTGTTATGTTAGATTGTTAATTTGAGATCTTTCTAACTTTTTGATGTAGTCATTAGTGCTGTAAACTTTACTCTTAGTGCTGTTTTAGCTGTGAACCAGAGATTCTGGTATGTTGTGTATTTGTTCTCACTGTTTTCAAAAAAATTCTTGAATGCTGCCTTAATTTCATTGTTTACCCAAATGTCATTTAGGAACAGGTTGTTTAATTTTCATGTAATTGTATGGTTTTGAGCGATCTTCATAGCTATTTTTATCGCACTGTGGTCTGAGAGTGTGGTTGGTATGATTTCAGGTTTTTTGAACTTGCTGAGGATTGTTTCATGGCTGATTATGTGTTTGATTTTACAGTACATTTCATGTGCAGATGAGAAGAATGTATATTCTGTTGTTTTGGAAGAGTTTTAGAAGAGTTCTATAGATATCTGTTAGGTACATTTGGTCAAGTGTTGAGTTCAGTTCCTGGATATTTTTGTTAGTTTTCTCCCTTGATGATCTGTCTAATATTGGCAGTGGGGTGTTGAAGTATCTGACTGTTATTGTGTGGTTATCTAAGTCTTTCGTAGGTCTCTAAAAACTTATTTTATGAATCTGTCTACTCCTGTGTTGGGTGCATATATATTTAGGATAGTTAGGTCTTCTTGTTGAATTGAACTATATGTAATTATGTAATGTGCTTACTTGTCTTTTTGATCATTCTTGGTTTAATGTTCGTTTTGTCTTAAATTAGAACAGCAACTTCTGGTATTTTTTAATTTTACATTTACTTGGTAGATTTTTCTTCATTTCTTTACTTTGAGCCTCTAGGTCTCCTTGCCTGTGAGATAGGTCTCCTTAAGACAGTACTGTATAGTTGGGTGTTTATTTTTTGTCCAACTTGCTACTTTATGCCTTTTAATTGGGGCATTTACCCAGTTTGCATTCAAGATTAATGTTGGTAAGTGGGTATTTGATTCTGTCATCATGTTGTTAGCTTAGTATTATGCAGACTGGATTGTGTAAGTGCTTTATGGTGTGAGTAGACTATGTACTTAGTTGTGTTTTTGTGGTAGCCAGTAACGGTGTTTTATTTCCCTATTTAGGACTTTCTTAAGGACCTCATGTAAGGCAGGTCTGGTGCTACTGAATTCTCTTAGTACTTGCTTATCTGAAAAGAATTTTATTTTTCCCTCACTTATGAGGCTTAGTGTGGCTGGATCTGAAATTTTTGGTTGGAACTTCTTTTCTTTAAGAATGCTGATGGCCCCCCATCTTTTCTGGTTTGAAGGGTTTCTGCTGAAAGTTTCATTGTTAGCCTGATGGGGTTTCCTTTGTAGGTGACCTGCCCCTTCTCTCTAGCTGTCTTTTTTTTTTATTTCATTACGAACCTGGAAAATCTGATAAGTATGTGTCTTGGGGATGGTTGTCTTGCATAGTATGTTGCAGGAGTTCTCTGTATTTTTTTAATATGAATATTGGCCCATCTGGTGACATGAGAGAAATTTTTTGTGAACTGTATCCTTAAATATGTTTTCCAGGTTGCTTGCTCTCTGTTTCTCTCTTTCTCTCTCTCTCTCTCTCTTTCTGCCATGTCAGTATGTTACAGATTTGGTCTCTTCACATAATCTCATATTTCTCTGAGGTTTTGTTCGTTCTTTTTTATTTGTTTATATGTCTGATTGAGTTAGTTTGGAGAACTAGTCTTTGAGCTCTGAGATTGTTTCCTCAGCTTGGTCTGTTCTGCTGTTTATACTTTGTGATTGTATTATGGAAGTATTTGTATTGTTTTTCAACTCTCTCAGATTCATTTGTATCTATCTTAAAACAGCCATTTCTTCATTCAGCTCCTGTATCTTTTTATTGTATTTCCTGGATTCTTTGGCTTGGGTTTTGACTTTCTCCAAGATCTTGATGACCTTCATTCCTATGTGTATTCTGTATTTTATGTCTGTCATTTCAGCCTGGTGCAGAACCATTACTGGGGATCTAGTATGGGCATTTAGAGGTAAGAAGACACTGGCTTTTTGTGTTACCAGACTTTTTATGCTGTTTGTTTCTCATCTTTCTGGGCCGATGTTCCTTTAATCTTTGAAGCCGCTGTCCTTTGAATGAAGCCTTTTGCTTTTATCTTCTTTGAAGCCCTTTAGTGTTTGATTGTGGTATAGGGTGCCTTTAGTCGACTGGCTTTGATTATGGAAGATTCCAGGGGGCCAGGAAGCCCCCAGCTGTATCTTCTGGCCCCTTGAGGTTATGACCCTGACCGCTAGAGGTGCTGAAGTGTTCCTAATAAGCTAGCCCCGAAACTTTAAGGGGAATGCTAGCTGAAGCGCTCCATAGCGTTGTTGGCAGTGGTATCAGCGCTCACTTGTGCTTGCCAGTCACTGTGGCCTTGCAGTGGAGTGCTTTTGTGTCAGTGGGGTGGTGCACTAGTGGGGGTGAGGTGCTGACAGGGGTGGGCGCGCCGGTGTACACTGCGCTCACTTGCGCCAGAGTAGAACCTGCACCGCGGGGGTGGGCGTGCCGGTGTACACTGTGCTCACTTGCGCCAGAGTAGAACCTGCACAGCGGGGGTGGGCTGCTAGTGGACGCGAGGTTCTGGAATCTGTGCACGCAGTCGCACCCACCGCTGTGCGGTGGGCTGCCCACACCTCAGCGAGGGCTGGCAGGGGTGGGCAAGGCAGCAGAGTGTGCTCATGACAGCAGCGGTGGGGCAGTGGGGTGCACACTCACATGCCTGGTAGGAAGAGGGTTGGCGAGGTCGTTCGGCCCTTGCGCACACACTGGCAAAGCAGTGAGGGGAGGCTGCAAGTGAGAAGAGGTTGTGGGTGGGCTGGTTTTGTAGACAGAGTCCAGTCTGCTGGACTTCTCTGATGGTTAGACATGGACTGCCAGTGAGGACGCTGTCATGAAGGCATCTGGGAAGTACCCTGGTTGGACATTTAATGCTGCATTGCAAGCGGGAGCGATCACGCTGGGGCTCCAGGAGAAGCCGGCAGCAGGAGAGGCTGCTCAGATAGAAATGGCTCTGAAACATGGGCAGGACCGCTCTGCTCCTAATCCGACTGTCACCCAAATGCAAAAGTCTGAATTATAGCAGCTTGGTGAGCCTTGGGGGATAGACATCCCTGGCCATGCTCCACTGCAGCCATTTCCCCGACAAACCTTCTGAGCTGTGCCCAGGTTGGAGTCCTGGCACTGGCATCTCTCAAAGCAGCTCTTGCTGCCGGATCAAGTTGTTCCTGGGGGTCCTGAGGTCTCCTGCAACTAGAATTATGGGGGTGTGTGGCAAGGATGGGCCACTCCTCACCTGTTAAACTCACCCCTTCCCCAATATTCACTGGGGGCCAGGAGTGGGTCCCAGGGCTCAACAGCCCCATGCAGGATTTCCAGATTCCTCCCGCTTCAGTCCAGTAACTTCGTCCTCCTTCCATCCGCTCTTAATGCCTTCCCTCTGAAGGTCGGCTTGAAGTGTGCTAGTATTCCCAATGCCTGAATCTCTCTGTGAGAGATGTTTAGCCTGGCTGTGTCAGGTCAGCCATCTTGGCTCTTTCCTCTTTTTCTTTTTTTAACTACTTTTTGTCTTTCTGATAATTCTCTTTATCTACCTCACCCAAAATATACCCATAGAGAAAATATACAATTTCCCTTATTGACATATACATTAAATAGAAAAATAAAACAAAACATGCATATTATCTTCTAAAAAATATGTATCAATTTTCTATAGCTAGATAAATATTTAATGGAAGAAACAATGCCTTCTATGTGTGGGCACAAGTTAAAAAAGGAAAATAAAAAGATATAGTACTTCTTTTCTAATACCAGAGTTTGAAATGCTTCCATTCTTATTTTACTTTGTTTTGGTTAGCAACTTAAAATATGAATTATTGCCATCAGAATAAATCTGATTTAGTGAATTTATTTTAAGTTGTATTTGAAAAAAATACCAATATTTGTTATAAATTTAACAATAAAAAAGTAAATTAGTTACTTCCTGGTCCTTGATAAGTCCTAAAGCATGACATCATTGTTGAGCTTAGAAAATCTCTTTGCTGATGTAGGTACATCCAATCAATAGGTGGGATTCTGCCACTATATCAAAAAGATGTGTCTGGTCCGCTGATATTTGTTGATGTCACTGATTCCTAGTCCTCTCAGGAATCTCTGTGGCTTTCCAACATTCTCCTGGGAGAAAACACAGCTATTAGTGGACAACTTTTCCCATTTTATTCTGAGTTTTTAAACTATTTTCTGTCCACTTGAAAATTTATGTTACTCACTACATTGCCTTCTCCTGCATTAATTATACTATATTTGGAAGAAATGAACAAAAACTTAAATGTAAAACAGATGATAATATCTACAGGATGCATCTTACTGTCACATATTTTGAATGTTCCTAATTGCAATTAGTTTTCACCCCCCAATATTTATCTTGTCAATGTCATGATTTTGTACTCTCCTGCCTAAAAAGAAAATCTATGTTCTTTCTTTAAATTTTAAAACTACATTTATCCTAATATTTTACATGACTAAGAACATATGACTGTAATCACTTGAAAGGTATTGTGAAAATATGAATGTTTTAGGTACAAACTCAGAGGTGCCAGACAAAATGAAATTAATCAGTATCTACTTGTGTTGAGCAGTTACCAGCACAGATGGTAGCAAATAAGCTTATTGTTTGTCTCAATATATTAATGATGCACAATTACATGTATTTCACTTTGGATGAATATCTGACAGACTAGCAAGCAATATTTTGGAAACATGACCCCTTGATTGATAATGGAGAGAAGTATTTAATATTTATGTCTAACTTAAATTTAATACATTCTATATCATTTTAGATGCCTCCATCCAAACTTTTTAAATTGGGACATGACACAAAGTAATCAAAATAGAGGTTCAGTGACTTTGTGGAGTATAAAGTTAGAATTTTGAATTCTTCATAAACATAGGGGTGATTTTTAAAGATTATGTTTGAAACTTAAGTCTTGATGGTTACCCCCTCAGTAGCCTCTAATCTCTATTTGAAAGATTTATAGGGTACTAGATTTTTATTTATTTATTTATTTATTTTGGCAGAGTCTGGTTCTGTCACCCAGGATGGAGTGCAGTCGTGCGATCTCGGTTCACTGCAACTTCCACCTCCCAGGTTCAAGTGATTCTCCTGTCTCAGCCTCCCGAGTAGGTGGGACTACAGTCACGCGCCACCATGCCTGGCTAACTTTTGTATTTTTAGTAGAGATGGGGTCTCACCATATTGGCCAGGCTGGTCTCGAACTCCTGACCTCATGATCCACCTGCCTCGGCCTTCGAAAGTGCTGGGATTACAGGCATGAGCCACCATGCCTGGCCTAGATTGTTGAATCAACAAATCAAGCCAACAGGATGATTTGAGGATTTATATAAAACAACTAGAAAACTGAACAGTAATAATTTTTATTTTTAATGAAATATATCAATAATTGAATGTTAAAAGGTGTGATGTAAATGATCATTGTTGAAAAGAAAGAGTGATCAGTCAAGTGATTTTTATTGTTATTGCTGTGGGCTTAAGAAATAAGAATGTGGAATTAATGAGAAGTTGAGAATTTTCTGAGGGGTTGGGTAAGAAAGTACAAGAGATATAGAGAAGTACAGTATGTGGGCAGAAAGCAGTCTTTTTTCCCTCTAGAAGATTAACACATAGACAAAAGAAGACCAATGAGGAACCCACAATCTTGGGAAGAACATATAACAGAGTATCCACAGGGAGCTGTATCCCAGAAAGGGCACTAGATGAGAAATTCAGACTTCATTTTTTCATCTATAAAATGAGAATTGTTCATTCTCTTTAATCTGACTAATATGAACTTCATGAAGATATTTTAAAATTGTAAATGATATGGAATATAATAATAGATAATACTGGCATTATATTAGTTATAAAATAAAATAATATCCACATATGACTCTTAACATCCTCACATGAGTAGGAATGGGCAGTACTAACTTTGGAGCTATAATGTACTCATTATTTGAAAAAACTGTCAAAATCTACTCTCTTTCTAAATAATTGGTTAATATGATATTAAAATGTAAAATGAAGAATATTCTTTGAAAATTACATGATAAGTGTACCACTTTAGTACTTATTTAAAATTTTGTTCTTTATACATTACTAGGGTGTTATTCATAAGTGCAACATTCAGAAATTTACATATTTTCTCAAGAATTTGGGAAGAATGTAATGAATGTTCTCTTCTTGCTTAAAAACACTCACAAATTAATTTGCAACTTATTATTGACTATAAAGTTATTCATATTTCTCTGCCAAATGAGAAAACCCAGTTCATATCCGAAATATAACACTTTTTCTTTCTAAATAAAGAGCAATTTTTACTATTTTTGAAACATCCTATTTATGACTTATCACTGCAAGTTAATATGCACATTGTGGAGTTTATTTTTGTTATTCATATGGAGGATTTTAGGTATTATAGCCACCTTATAAAGATCTGAAATGAGTTTTAGTTGTGACATGTTTTGTCTTTAGGTTCTATTTATATTTTCAGTTTAGGTGGAAATAGTTCCCTGTTGACATGTCCACTGCTTACTTTTTGTTACTATCCTTTGCTTACTTTTATGCCTCCAAAAGTTTGTGGCTTTATAATCGATTTACCTTTAATTCACTATAATCTTCATCACAGTAGAATGAAGTAAGCTTGTCAGATGTGATTCCTAGCTCTTTTTATATTTAGGAATTCAAAGGCAATAGCAACTTGAGAGCCATCTTTTCAGAAATCTCAGTACATTCCCAACTGCAATCTCATATACTAAGTAAATATATGAATGGAAACATTTTTTACATTTCCATTTATTTTGTTACTATTCCAATTGCTACTTATTGTCAAGGTTTATTCCATCCTGTAAACTGCCACTCCAAACCATAGGAGAAGGAACCACCTTTGCAAAATGCAATTAAAGTAGCCACTTCCTCCAGCTACCTGGACATAGTGA